TCTTACTACGTACACTGTGTTTTTAATATAATTCTTAATTATGTTAAAAAAATTGCAGCTAAACAGAACAGTTGGCTTCCAAGCACTCACTCTGTTAGTCTGCAAATCACAAGCACTGTGGAAATCACAAGCTGCCCATCAGTCAGCCCTAAGGATTTAATCTTTTCTAAGGTTAGTGACATAGGATGCAATCATGCAAGCTGCAATTCTTCTGAAGTACCAACCTTCCTTTACCTAATACAGATATTTTAATGAAACCACTGCTGGGCTCAGTACTATGGGCTCAGAAGCTAGTCTGCATATCTCATAACAAATATGGAAAGACTGACAAACTTATGTTTGTGACTGTGCTTTTCTGAATGTACTTGATCTCCAGGATCGCCCTCAAAAAGCCTTTGTTTTGTCTCACTGCTTAGGTTGCAAATTGCAGTCCTTTAGTTTCATGTTAAGGCAAGGACATAGAGGGGTTTTTTGGCACATGTAAGAAGGCATACATGGTCAAATTCTGCATGTGAGAGAAGGAGCTTCTCTCAGATCAGTTACTTTTGAATCCACCCACTGATTTGACAATGAAGTTTTGATCTCAAACACTGTAAAATTTCCTATGATTTTTATGAAAATAGGTAGCCAGATGTGGGAAAGAGACTTTATTAATGCCTTTACTAAAGGGAGAGTTCTTGCACACCAGAAATGTTAAAAATCTAGTTCCTTGGCTCATGGAACTACTTATTTGAAAATCTGGCTCTGAACCTCATCAGTATCTCCTTACTCTTTGACAGATGTTCAATGTTCTGCATGAAGATGTATCCTAGAGAAATGAAACAATAACAGTGTTTTCATTTCAGTTGTTTCAATTTTGATGCTTGTTTTTGTTCCCAGAAGCAAATGTTTTCCTCTTGTTCTTTCATAAACTGCCATGGGATAAAATAAAATAAATCTCTAAGAACAAAAAGAAAACAATAAAGCTCTTAAGTGGTTGTTTGGTTTCTGTTCAGACTCCTAACAGCTGCTTCATTCTTCTTCACTGGTTCCAGATTTAATAAGGCCATGTAAGTCTTTAAGGAAACAGCAATTAAGAAGTTTCTTCCTTTTTTTTTTAATCTTTTGTTCCAGATTCTAATATAAAATCATTTACTCCAGTTTTCCTTTGAGTATAAAGCCTGAATTTCTTATTTATGATTCTTGATATTATTTTTAAAAATTGTGAAAGTAACAAAAAGATTTGTTTTCCATGAATAACAGTACAAAGTTCTTGTCCCACATACTGCTTTGACTCAAAATAAATCAACAAAATAAATAAGTCTTGATTCTGGTGAAATAATCAGACTTTTTCAAAGCAACACTGAATGACACAGGTCAAAATCTGGTTTATTCTCATCATTATTTCTCTGTGTAAGCAGTACTGAAACATTTGAGGAAATGTTGCCATAGAAGTTTTCTTATGTTATCTCTGTTCTGAATAGAACTAAATGACTCACTCATTTCTTATCTAAGAACTTTGAGCTTTCCTTGGCTTTTACCTTATTATTTTAGTACTGTGTCACTCTACTCAACTTCTTTTAGTTTTGTATGCTCTATTCTTCTTTGGAGACCACATTGGTTTTAACAAAATTGATGTATTCTGAAGCTACACTTACTTAAGAGTATCATAGAATCACAACATATCCTCAGTTAGAAGGGACATATTAGGATCACCAGAATACCATCAATCAAAGTATCATCAACAAGTGCTCTTGTTATAGTTGAGTTCATATGTGTACCAGTGGATAGAGTTAATTTTCTTTACAGTGGATAGTGCAGGGCCATGTTTTGGATTTGTGCTGAAAAGAGTGTTGATTATATAGGGGTGTTTTCATTACTGCTGTGTAGGGCTTACACAGAGTCAAGGATTTTTTTGCTCTTTGTACCACCTTGCCCACAAGGAGTCTGGGAGTGCAAAAGAAGACAGAGCTGGGACAGCTGACCAAAGAGATATTCTATACCCTATGGTGTCACACCATATAAAGCTGGGGAAAGAAGGAGGAAGGGGTGCACATTTGGAGTGATGGTATTTGACTTCCCAAGTGATCGTATGGCATACTGGAGCCCTGCTTTACTGAGGATGGCTGAACACCTGCCTGCCCATGGGAAGTGGTGAATTAATTCCTTGTTTAGCTTTACTTGCACACACTATTTTTCTTTACCTGTTAAATATTCTTTATCTCAACCCAAGATCTTTTGTACTTTTACCCTTCAGATTCTCTGCCCCATCCCACCAGGGGGGAGTGAGCCAAGGGCTCTGTGGTGTTTAGTCACCAGCTGGGGTTAACACATAGCAACATGATAGAGAAAAAGTATACACAAACAAAGAAGGAAGGAAGGAAGGAAGGAAGGATGGTTGCCCAGGGAGGTTGTGGATGCCCCAACCCTGGTAGTGGTAAAGACCAGGTTGGATAAGGCCTTGAGCAACCTGGTCTAGTGGGAGGTGTCCCTGCGAGGGCAGGAGGGGTTGGGATTAGATGGTCTTGAATGTCTCTTCTAACCCTTCCAACATTCTAGGATTCTGTGAGTGTTCCATGGGAGTATGAGGTTCTTCACAGAAGGAAAGAGTAGGATTGAAAGACTTTTTAAATTAATTTTGCTCTTTATTTTAGCATTTCAAAAACTTCGACCTTATCAGTCATTCTTTGAATTTTACCACTTCAGACACTAGTGTGTATTCCACAGGAAATTAAAACATTAATTACATTGTGAACTGCATTATGCAAGCTTTCACAGTGCTGCTGGCTTCTGTTCCCAGAGACTTGAATGCACTTGAGGTGCCTGTTTTTTTTTTCTTAAGGTAGACTATGTTCATGTGTGTCACTGTTTTATATAGTATGGTGGGGTGTTTTTCTGGCATTCACTGAAACAGGAAAAGTATCTGTTGTTTCTATGGACGTGCTAAGCTTTAAAGACTTGTTTGCTTCTACAGCAATTGACTTATTGCTGTCCTGATTACAACAACAGCAATGCTTCACTATATTATCTGGCAGGTGAAAAAGGCTTTTGATAGTATTCCATCATCAGCCTCCTACTGTTAAATCTTTAATAGTATTTATAACATCACCTGCCATCAGATAGAGTTCCAATGGTATTTTATCTTTACTCCTTGCCTTTGCTTTTTGCTAGAAACCAGTAGAAATGAGGTACACAATTACTGAAGAAAACCTGTACTGCTCCAGAGATGTATTCTCAATAGACTAAATTATCCCCAACTTGAAAATTAAATTAAATTCGAATTGAATTTTAGACAGTAGTGATAAAATTTTAAAGAGGAAATTGATAGTTGAAAATCTCTATTTATTTTGAATGAAGTTTCACAGACTAGCTATCTTATTTTTCCAACATTTGCAATGTTGATTTGACATCTCCAATACTAGTTTTAGTGTTATATTTTCTTTAAGAAAAGAAAATGTGTCATTCTTGACTTATATGCCTTATAGCTAAATCAAAAGCAAGTGAGAAAGACATTTGTATTCTGTAATAGATAGCAATACACAGTCTTCTCAAAATCTTAGTCTGTTTTGATGGGTTATGAGTGTTCACTCTGCACAGTCACAAAGCTGAAACTGTGCTAATTTTGGTATCAGTTAAAGCATCATTTGATTAATATAGAGTGAAAACAAGATTTTTAGTAAGAATGTGCTTAATTTTGTGAACAAAAGCTGCAGAAAACCACTTTCCATCTTCATCTTTTGTCTTTGAACCTTCAACCAATTCTTATGGACCTTAAGGGCTGGGTTGCTGAAATATTTGAATCACAGAATCGTCAAGGTTGGAAGATACCTTCAAGATGATCTAGTCCAATTGTCAGCTTAGCATCACCATGATCAGCCCTAAACCATATCCCCAAGTGCCATATCCAGATGCCTCTTGACAATTCTAGAGATTTGACTCCACCACCTCCTTGGGCAGTTCATTCCAGTGCCTCATCACTCTTACAGTGATTTTTTTTTTCTGATATCTAATCTGAACTTCCCTTGTGCAACTTAAGGGCATTTCCTCTCATCCTTTCCCTTGAGACATGACAGAGGAGACTGAATCCCCACCTCACTACAACCTGCTCTCATGCTTAAAACACAAAATTATGTCTTCTTTGAATAATAAATAAAAAAAATCAAATCTATTACTTCAAAGGGATTTCTCTGCCCTTTTAAATAAAAATGAATGTCTTTATACCATTTTGTTGGCAGAGACTAGCAAGATGTTACTGACCTCGCATATACTTTAGAGTAAAAATCTTCTTCAGAAAGTCAAATTTACAAGGGTGATAATTTCATATTACAGAATGACAGCTTAGCATTTCTGACTTTGGCAGTGCCCTGTGTAGGTGTAATGTTTCAATATACCAATCTTTAATGCAGTAGTCTTACAATCAGTGAAATTATAACCTCTTTATTAAGGCTACCTCTTGGTTTTGGTTCCACTTGTTTGAAAGGCGACTGTCATCTCTGAGGTATCTGAGTTTAAACCTAATCCTGGTTATGTGGGCAATTTCACATTGTAATGGGAAACATATCTCAAAGGCAAATTAGAGAAGTATTAACCTCTCTAAATATGACAATTATCTCTGATAAGCATCCAAAATTTAGACAGTTATTTGGACCTCTGTCTCAGTTTAATAGACTGAAGTGTTTTGCTAAGGAGGATGAGTTATGAGGAAGACCAAACTCTTCCCTCTAAGCAACTGCAAATCCGAAATTAAGAGGCTTCAATTGAGAAAGTATGGAGAAAGAAAAAAATAACAACCCTTTATTAAAGGACGTATGCGTATTGGCAGAACAACAAAAGAACACAAAACCAACCAAACAGTAATCCTATACCCAAAAATCCCCTTCAAAACAGAAACAGTTCAGTACTTTCTACCTTTCTTGGCGCAATTCTAACCATGACCAGCAGGGGGCGCTCTTGGATCTCTGGAGGAGCAGAGCCTGCAGTTGCTCGGTGTGGTCAGCAGGGGGCGCTGTTGAGCACTGGTGGTTGCCGTGTGGGGCCTCAGTGCGTGGGAGAAGCCGAAAATGGAGATCTTCCCCCCCCACCAAGAAGGGAAAGGGGAAAAGGGGAAAAAGGTGGCTCTTCCTATGAAATTCACACTCTCTGCAGCTGGTTGTGGCCAGATTTCCCCACTTTCGTCAATGGACACACGCTGCTGCTAACATGAGAGCAGAGGAGAGAAAGGGTAACCTCCTCCCCAAAAGGTTCCTCCACAGATGGGTCAAGCCTCTCCAATGAAGTCCAAGCAGGTCTAGGCTGGGGCAGAACAGGGCACAGGAAAACAGAGGTAAATTGAGGCCAGAAAACAGCCAGATGACCAGGCCGAAAAATAAAGTGAAACTCAGACCCTTCCAACACACACCTTGACTGAGTTAGGGCAAAAGTGAAGTGCCTCTTGTTTCCGAGAAGAGAAAAAAAACAAACTCATCACCCCTCCCCACAGTCTTCAGAGGGCCATCAGCTTGAAATGTGGATCTGCTGGTTAGCTCCTTTGTGTGTGTCAATTACACTAGGCAAAAACTACCCTCCCCTGTTGAACACCCCCCCTTACAGCGATGCAGGGGAAAGAAATATTACCTGCCTGTTTTTTCAGAACAAGTAAACCTATGGTAACCTCTCCTTTGTCTTTAAATCTTGTTAGGATTTCTTAAAATACTTCCACATTTTTTTGTTTATTAGTTGTATTTTGGTATTAACTACATTTCTAGATGTAAATGGGAGACTGTAATTTTTAAAAAATTTCAATATGGGGAGTCATTCAATAAACTTTACATTATGTGCTTCAAGATTGGGACTGGAATCTATAGACTATTAAAGTCTGTAACTGAAAGAAACAGTATTTGGGTGGGAGCTCTAGCGTATACCAAGTTTATGATGCTACTCTTAGGCAGACAATAAAATAAAAAGGAATTGCTTGTCAGGAATTGTCTTCCTGAAATGGCAGATATAACATAGAAAATTGGTTTAGAAATTCTTCTGGGGAAAGTACTCACTTGGATATGTTTGATGTTTCTAGTCCTGGTCAACTTATAAATATTTCAAAAATTCCTTTGAAGTTTTTCACTTTCTGTCTCAGTCAAAACAGCAAGTGAAAAATGTACAGAAGAGAAAGACAACGTTTGCTCTTTTAGTCTTGATATTAAAGAGCAGCAACAAATAGATTTTCCATGAAAAAATCCAAAATATGTAACCAATTGTTTTGAATTTACACAATGCTCTACAGAACTTCTCTTTTCCAGAGGATGACAGTTTGCTATTCTTACTATATGACATTTTTTTGAGAGGTTTACTACACTGTAGATATTGGATCTGTACTAGACTGACTTATCTGAGGTGAGATGATCAGCAAAGTTGTTAATTCATACACCTTACCTATGCAGAGAGAGACTTGGGAATGCTTCTGGGGGTAGGGCCCACATGCACAGCTCCACCCTTCACGATGGAGGGAGAATTGCACACTCAGCATTTTCCATACAAGCCTGCATTTTTGTGCCATTTCTTATTATATCTATTCACTGGGTTCAAGGGGTTGATGCAAATAAAGTATTGTTTCCATTACCTGTCGTGAGTAGATGGAAAAGTAGCTTTGAGGAGAATTTAGGTCCTCCAATCTGAAGGTCTATCTCTCATCTAGGAAACTTTTGGTAGCAGCTTTCTCTTTAGTGCAATCCAAACAAAGTTCACTCTGTCAAAATCAGATGTTTGGGTTTCATGTCCTACTTTCTTCTTGTGATAGACAAAACAGAATGCGGCATGATATAGTTGCCTGAAGATAGATGTCTAATGCCATTTGTCACTCTCTAGGATACCAGAGGTAACTATAGGGGACTGGCAGCTGGGACACAAAGATTGTTGGAGGCCCTTGCACTTCTTCAGTGGCAGCTGGAGTGCAGGTAGGACATCCCCTCGACCCTTTATGGACTAATGATCCATTTGTCAAACAAGAATTTTCTCTAACACTTGGATTTGGCAAGACACAATTAAGCTGGTATAGTGGAAGGTGCCCCTGCTCATGGCAGGGGGCCTGGAACTAAATGGTGCCCTAGGTCCCTTCCAAGTCAAACCATTCTATGATCATATAATTGTATGATTCTATGATAACAATTTCATTGGATATGTCATTTTCAGTTACATTCCACGAAGCTTAATTGTTGTTAAATGGTAGGGATACAGACTGTCAGGTGATACTATTTAATGGCTGTGCAACATTTCAGCTTCACAAACCCACTCTGCTACTATTTGCTATTTGGTAGTTAATGGATTGTATAAGTTCCACCTAAACTTATGTAGGTGAAGTTCCTTTAACAACAATAGCTGCTTGTGTATGCATCCAGTTGTACTACTTCTGACACGGTAGCTGCGCATTAGAACTCAGGCACACTAACACTGTAACACTTTTAGGTTTTTTTATCAGAGCATGGGATAAAATCAGTCTAACTCAACTCATTCCTTCTCAAGTAGTAAGGAATCTTATATTTGGTGACCCAAAATATACACAAGAGGTTTTTAGATTAGATCAGTGTGATCTAATTAGGTTAGATTATGAGCTCAGAATAGAGAATGCTGGCTGAAATCTTTGGTCTTGTATACTGAAAAAGAAATCATTTGGCACTTCTGTTGCAGTTTCCAATATGTTTGGTGTTTGGAATATATGACATATCAGTTTTGTAAAATGAGAGAAATAATTCATTGTCATCAAGGCTCTTGGTTGGTAGGTTTATGTGTTTCATTGAACAATTTGTTTTAGAGTATTTCCTTTTTATAACTTCAAAAAATAACATCTTTCATTTCAGAAGAAATAAAATGCTGCTCATCTTAGATGAAAGTAACAGGTGAAAGTTGGTTCCATTTGCACATGGTATGAAAATTCAAATACTGTAACATAAAATAAATCATATATTGGAATATTCAGATTTTAATAAATGATCTTTTCCATTCCAAGAGCAATACTGCTTATATTTGTATCCTATAATCAGCCTTAGGATTTGGAGTTAGTGAAGAAATTTCTCTCTTAGCCTGTAGCCATGTGCTTTCTGATGTTCTTTCATCCAGCAATTTTATTTGTCCTCTTTTGGTCCCATTTTTATTCTGTTCTGCATACTCACACTTTCTGAGTGGATTGGATTTCATTTTCTCAGCTCTTATCCCAGTAGATTTCTTTTCAAAATACAGGCATAGCTCTGAGAAAATGGCTTGGGAAGGAGGATCCCTGGGGAGAAGGCCTCAGGGGAAATGAAACAGCTCAGCTTAAACGTAACAATGGGTCGGTCACAGGATTGGGATGAATGCAGTTAAGTGTGCTAGGTTTGTATTGTAGTTTCTTGAACAGCAATTCTAATTTCCCTGTACTAAATAATCATACTTCAAACCTGTCTAAAAGAATTTTTTTAATTAATCAATATGAGAAAGATATTTGAACTTTAGGTTAAAAAAAGTTTTTATTTCACTCAATAATACAGTTCTATTTACTGGCCATTTGGGCTAAATTTCAAAAAACTTTGCACCCCAAAAAAATATCTAGTCCTAGGGTATTAAAGCAGCATATTTTATGGTTGACAGCTGAGCTGGTTGATGATAGCTGAAGAAAAACAAGTTTTGCTAACTGGAAAGATTATTACTGAAGGGCACACTAGTGAGATGGCAAAATCAAATACAGATTGTGCCTTTAGCTGTTGGGATTATAATATATGTGACTGTGAAATCTACATATGCAACCTGATGGTTTTTCTTTGCACCTTTTTACTCATTCTGTATAGGAAAAACAAATAGTATCTTGTTTTCCTGGCATCACACCAAACAATTTCTTGATGTAAGATACAGTCTAAACAGAACAATGGCATGATTTTATGCAAATTGTGCTGGCTCATCTGCACTAATTCCTAGTAGTTGTTAAGATTTTAAAAATATATGTTACTTTATTTACCAGTCACCCCTAATATTTGTTTTCCGGAATCTAACGTATAAAACTGAGTTTAATACATTATATATCGGTTTATGCTAATGTAGAGAACTGAGTTTTAAACTACTATAGAGCCATCAATAGCTAAATTCTATGGTATAACTTCAGAGACTTGGATAACACAGGCCTTTTAACCTTTAGCCAACACTTTATAGCACAGGCTATAAATTAGGAAGGAATTTGACTTTTAGTGGCTTCATATTACAGTCTATCAGGACAGTGTGGAAACAGGAGCTATTTCTATTAGCATAGTAATGAAACATTTTTTCCAGAGATAGTGAATGAAATCAACCCACTAATTAGATTTTATGTGTAATATTTGATGGTCAACATTACTCAAAAGAGATAGCAAAAGCTTACATTTAATGCAGCCAGTATTCTCGTTTGTATTGGACAAGGAAAAAGAAAGAGAAGATAGCATAAGCCACCATGACAGTAGTGCATTTCAGACCAAAATCATGTGCATCTCACCTTTTCACTTCCATTATGCAGATCTGAAAAGGAAAAAAAACACCATAGAGGAGAAAAGAAATAATTCTCAACACAGCATGTTATTCATCACTTCATTCAGAAAAGGTCATGCACATGATTATAGAGGTAGAACATACGCGTACATCAGCTATTATATACCTACATTTAGGTAAGAAGTGTAATATTTTGTATCTCACACACATATATGTTAGTTTGTTTATGGCCCTGCTTCAAAAGGTAATGAAACAACCTGAAATCCTGAGAATATTGTTTCCAACATTCTAACAGTGTCCTCTGGCATATTTGCTGAAACTCAGTTGCCCTGAGATATGGCCACAAGGCTGGTGAGACCAGTGGCACTGATTCAACAGAATTTGATTTCTGGCTGCTTTTGTTCAGACTATCAAACCAAGTCCAATAGTAAGAATATCTAGCTAGGGAACATTAATACTCTTGCATTTTATATAAACCAATATAAGAGTAGTACTAAACCTTTTAGTAAGAGGGATTCTGTATTCATGAAAGCAATGTTGATTCATTCTGTTCTGTAGCATCTCAAATGCATATCTAGAATTACCAAAGAGCATGTCTTTTCTATAACATATGTATAAATACTTTTACTATAATTTATTCTTTTCTACTTTTATATTCCTTTTCTTACCTTCTTCCCCTCTACATATCTAGTACCTTTAATAGCTCTTGCTCTGTCTCTCATGTACTTATCATGACTCCATAACACAAGTAGATTTTCTTTCCTGCTTGCAAAATTATTGCATAATTTAGTATTCAATTCAAGGATTTTCAGAGGAATTTACTGTATGATTTTTAACATAATAAAATTCATAAAAATAATGTATAGAAGTATGCTTCAATGAAAAATAAAAAAATAATTGTTTCATTCATGTGAGTAACAAGGAGAGGTTGAAAAGGAAACATTCTTTTAACAGAAAATCTCTGATTATGCAGCTGTAGAAAGAAAAGGTAATTGACATTTACTCACTCTCATATAGAGACTAAATGACTGCTTTCATCATATCTCTTTTGCACAGTATTTAAACTCTAAGTGGAAATAGCTTTTGACAAATTGCAAGTAACTCAGCAAATATATTAATAGTAATTTATGTGAATTTTGTATAATATAATTTATGCCAAGATTGCTGAAATTTTGTCAGATCATCACTCTATGAAAGTACGGAATAATATATTGACCTCCTCAAGTAAAAAACTTTAAATAGAGCTTATCTGGCATTTTTTTTCTCATTATAGAATAAGCAGCTGCATTAACTGCTTACCAAAGATTCATAATATATTGCTCTTCTACTTTATTCAGCTCTTGAGTAGAAATCATTCCAAAACACAACCTTACATGTAAACAGTCTCACACTGTTCATAATTCTGTTGTATAAACAGATTTTCACCTACATAAACAGATACAAACAACACCAAATACTCTCATATTGTGGGGGGTTGAACACTGTGGATTTCAATCTAAATACTATACCTTCAGCATGCTCCATAATCAAGGTGAATTGACTGAATTACATAAATATTTTTCTCTTTGTGTGTGCTCTTCATAGTTGTCTAAGACTTCCATGACAGAGTCAACATCTACAGAGAAATGTGTCATAGCTACAGAAAAACTACTTTATATATGTAATGTTCTATTTAATTTAATATCTAGAAGATGACAGAACATTTTGAAATCTTCTTAATACAAAATGAGAAACAATCCAAATATTGCTCTAGAAAAAATTGTTCACATTTTTTCCCTTTTTCGTATATATGTAAAACTAATTCTGTCCCCACTATATTCCCCTTTCAGCACTATAACCCTATGTTTCAATGATAAAGTATTAAGTTTGGCATTTCATTGTTTTTACAGTATGGAAAATAGGGAATATTCATTCCTATTCATTGTATCCATGACTTTTTATGATTCCAGAGTCATCTATCATATTCACTCTTTATTTTATTGTTATTATTATTTATTTATTATTTTATATTTGCAAAACTGAAGAGTACAAAACAGTTTAAGTCCCGTCTTTCTCAGAAGCGAGTCTGCAATTCTGATGATCTTCAATTGCCCCACACAGACTGTAACTGGTGACTTTTCCCCAGACCTCAGGTGAGCAAGCTAGCACATCATAGTCTTTACTGCAATCACAAAGCTTCTATATAACTATGACATTGGTAATAGAATTCCCTGTAACTGTGGGTTGTTTATTGGGCAGGTCCCTATTTGTAATTGGGTATTTTTGGCACCAGAATGTTAAATATCAAGATTTGGGAGAGAGAGGGGAAAGAACAGTAGAGAAACCCTCTCAGCAATGGAATTACTTTCACCTTATCTTTTTTTCTCCTTCTCTTTTTTATTTACATGTTCTATTTACCTGAAGGTAAGATTGCCCTATGACTTTTTTCTACCGCTTGTATATTGATTTTTTTCAGGTTACCCTGTTTGGTCTTAAGAGACTTGATAATATGTAAATAAGTAACAAAATTTTTTTCTCTCTAGTGTAGCTTTATTGTTTGTTTTTATTTGTTTGTTTGGTTAGTCGGTCTTTAATACAGTTATTGCAAATACTTAGAAAAATAGAGTTTGCAATGATATTTGTCATCCACTCTCCCAGAGGTATTGTGTGAGATGTACCCCTTAAATTCAGGTCAGTGTAGATTTAGGTTGGATTGATGAAAAGAGATTGCTAATTAAAATATGTAGATTCCACCAGGGACCAGTGTATTTTGAGACACAAAGTGTAATTTTCAAATAGCGATGACTGCAATCTCAAAAAGACTTTTCATTGACTTTTCTCCTGCAGTCTTCCATTATTTTCAGTTCCCCCACACCAGAGTAGCAGCTACACTAATAAATTAAAAACCTAAATTCTGGGATGAAAAGTAGTTTATTTCACTTCAAAAGGTGGTCACATTACAAAACAAAATGAAACCAAAACAATAAAATGTAGTGAGACTGTGATTCTTAAAATAAGTACAAAAAATTTTTTACAACTCCAGTAAAATTCCAAACAGTAATTTTCACCTCTTTTTACTGAAAAGTGAGCCCTTCTACAACATCTGTATTGACCAGGCTAGTACAATACTTTGTAAAAATAAAATTACATACCATGGAAGTCAGGATTCTTTCACTGTGGATCAAAGCTATGTTTTAATACAACAGAGAGCACTAAAATACTCTCTCTTACAGCATAGGCTGCCAGTACCTTTAAAAAAATTTCTATCAAGTTCACGGATTTAAAAAAAGAGCTAACATTCAGTTTTGGTGAATAAACAGATATTTCTGAATGGAATTCAGTGATCTTTCTGTAATATGACAGTTAGCTTGAAGAAGATGAAGCTAAGTAATCAGTTGATCGTAGCTGAAATTGGAACTATAGCCCAAAACATGTCATGGACATGTATTTTGTTTATGTTCGGTGGGCCTACAAATGTTTCCCTATATTTTCAATCAAACAGCAGTTTTTCTTGCAAGATCTGAATTGAATATTGGGCATTGCAAAACAATAATTTTAAAAAAGATATATAAAATAGATGCCTTTATTGAACTTGAATGGCTTGAATTGGTGTTATCACCTGTCCCTATCTGCATTATTAACTTTTTTTAAGCTCTAATACTTTTTTTTTGTCTTAAACTTTCAGCATCCTGAATTTTTTTCAGTCTAGCTGCAAGCTTTCATCTGATTGATAAATTGAATGAAGCAGTATTTTCATGAAAGATTTGACTTCTGTTGACAAAACTTGTCCTTGAAAAATTGCTATATAAAATCATTCAAAAAGTTAAATTCTTCCATTTGAAGTGCCATGACATCAGTTAAAGGGACCATTTCAATCTTTCACTGTTGCAACAAATGTTTATCGTCCTCTTTGCAAGATAATTTTCTGAAGATAAAACAAGTTTTCTTCAACAAAAAAATTCAGCTTCTCAGAGACAACGTGCTGGTGCTTATTGACTTCCTACTTACACTCTTTGTATCTTGGGATATAATAAAATTTTTCATTTTATGATTTAGAGCCCTTTAGAAAAAGTATTATCTCTAAATTAGTTATATAATAATGTGTATATTAAACTGTAATATAGCTTATTGCATTTATTTTGCTATATCTGTACCTTAGTCTTTTAATCTCTAGGTCTCATACTTCTGGCTTATAACATACTGTGGTGGTTTGAGCCGCCCTCCCGGGAGGGGGGCCTGGAAGTGGTTGGTCCCAGGTGAGTTTCCGGTGAGGGGCCAATTGGAGCTGTTTTTCGCCGCTGTGAAATTAGGAAGGAAGTTGTTGGCAGTGTGAAAGAAAGATTCGGAGCCATGAGGTGAGAGGAGACAGGCCTGTGGTCCCCTTGCGGGGGGCCAGACCCTCTTCCCCCCTCCCCCAGCTGGGCTGCAAGGAACCCAGGACAGTATTAAAACTGAACCGGGTGGTGTGGCTAAGGCTAAGGGGCTTCCCCCCCTCCCGCCCAGGAGAGGCAGTGGTGTGGATTTAAAAGGCCAGCCAGGGGGTTGCTAGCTCCCTGCAGGTAGGCACAGCATTTGGAGCTGAGCCAGAGATGGGCCGAGGGGTGGTCTGGAGCTGGAGAAGCAGCTGCAGTCATGCAGAGCTGGAAGAACTCCAGGCAGAGGAGAGAGACCGAAGCAGTCTCGCTGCTACCCTCTCCCCCTCTATAATGGCAGGGGAGAGGTAGCAACCTTGAGCTGAGACTGAGCAACGGAGAGACGGGCCGAAGGGCTCAGAGGAGGCTCTATGTGAGGTTTGGGCAGGGGCGGCCGAAAACCGAAGGAGGAATGCGAGGGGGGAGGAATGCCTCCCCGTGACATGCTGAAGCTGAGAAGCTGCAGCAGCTGTAACAGAGAGAAACCAAACCGAGCAGGCTTTTTCTGGGTAAGGAGTTTTGGTGAAAACTATTTGAGGTATAAAAACTGAGCAAGACCCAGAAACCCTGCAACCTGGAGAGGAAAGAGTGAACATCTTACTCTCTGGAAGGAACCTTCACGAACCTGGGAGAAAGAACTCAAAGCTGACTCCCTGGACCTTGTGATGAAGACCTGGTAAAACAAGTGTTCCCTTGTAGCCCAGGAGGAGACCTCAGCAGAAGTCAAGGAGCTGGTGGGGGTGCAAAAAACCCCTTCCCTGATACCCCAAAGAGAGAGAGTCTTTAACTATCGTCCTGGAGGGTTTTTCTTCTGAACTGATGTGAGAGGGCCCCCAGGGGTTAGTAGAGATGGTATTTATTTGCTTTTTAATTTCTATAGTATTTATTGTGTTTGTAATAAATTTTGATATAATTCCTCCATGCTGAGTTGTACCTGTCTGAAACCTTCTCTCTCGTACATTGAGGTAAATTGTGGATAAGCTTGAAAATTGGTTTTTTTGGGGGGTGAAACTCTTTACACCAAGTTCTGCATCATCATCCACTTAACACAGACATTAAATACAGTTGCTGTTATTTCTGAAGTTTTTTGTCCACTTGACCATAACTTCTGAAAAGAGGTTTATTTTTTTTCAGCATTATGTCTGCAATTTTGAGACAGAGGTTTCTATGATATCTTTTGATAGAACTTGTCTCCTGAAATTGTCAGGATCAAGTTCTGCCAGCAAGCCAACTTATTGAATTAAGTGATTGTCATTCTCTGTGCTTAACAATCTGTCTTCAGCCCATTTGACGTAGTGGTATTACAGAGCAGTCCTTGTCTGGCAAGAGAACATTGTTACTTTTTGCATTAGGACTCTTCTGTTTGTTCTTCTAAGAATATTGAGAATATTTTTGCCTCCAACATTTTCTGTACTATTTTGAAGAATGAGAACAACCCTTGGAGACAGTTGCAAGCTCTGAATCATTCAAATTTGTTTCAGGTTCTTTTTTAAAAAAAAAACAAGACAGGGCACACTAAACCATTTCCAGACAGCCCAACCCAGCTGTTAGCACTGAGCTACCATAAAAGAAAGGCAGTCTGATAGACAAATCGTCACTAAGAAGGTTAGTGTTCCTCTTACCTGTGCTTAAAACACTCCATCCTTTGAAATTCACAAAGTTTTTCTTTCTCTTCCCACAGGTACTGAACGTGACTGTGAATACTTTTGGCAATGTAAAGTGTGTGAGCTTTCTGCTCTGATGATTCAGTTTAAGAATCTCAAATTCAAGATAGGGACAGTCCATGGTCAGTAAGAGCTCCCTGGAAGAAGACTCAAAGTAATAAGAAAACCGTACAGGCTAAAACAGTCAGAAAACAGTGTCAGGAGAGTTCTATTCATGCTACACTGAGCTTCCATGGATGACATTATGAGATGTGTTACCTGAGGAGAAAACAAAAGTTAATCTAGAATCCTCCCCTGCAACCTGGTTGGGTGCTGTGTTGTTCTTAATGCTTTGTTTCTTCATGGCTCATATATCATCAAAAGGATTGTCTGGCACCAGATAGGTTTTATGATCAAAGAATTCACTCAGCATTTGCTGGCAGTCCATCCTTTTCCAGGGTATTTCAGTGAAGTTCAGCCAAATGCAACTGCTTTTCAGCATGTTCTCTCTCTCCATAATCATGATTCAAAAATCAGCATAAGATTTAAAGAACAAGTATAAATGTTCTGCCTTGCAGCTGAAGTTCCGTGTTCTGTATATTGATGGCAAACAGAAAAGCTGGTGGATGGGGGACTCAGTTTCAAATGTTTCTGTGAGGGCAAATAAACTAAATCAGCAGTGTATAATTTATTCCTTGTACTTACAGTCTGCAGAATCTGAGACCTCTAAAACACTGGTCTCATCTGTGAATCATCCATGGATTTTCTTATGTATTCTCTAGCCTAGTACTTGTTAGGGGAAAATATGCTCTGTCAGCACTGACAAGCTGAGTGAAGTGAAACTGATGGAGCTCCATGTCCCAGGAGCTCCGTGTCAGCAGTGAGGCTGAGCAAGAATTCCCAGTAGGCACATGCATACAGGAACACATACACAAAAATATACATGACCATCCATACAAATTGATAGAGGCAGACAAGACACACAGAGTACTCACATGAACACAGGCAGAACCAATGGCCTCATCCTGCTCCGCCATCTAGCTGAGCAAGGTGGAGATGCATAGTAAGGCTATAAATACACGCATGGACAACATGGATCCTTCCAGCAGCCATGCTCAGATACCTGATCTGCCCAGCAGTGGCCATGGATACCAGACTCCCCTTTTGCTCTCAAAATGAACATAGAAGACTCAAGGCCATAATCCCACTCCAATTACTGTTACAGACTTCTCACTCATGATCATACTCACATGCACAACCCCTAAAGCTGGCCAGGACTTCCCTGATCTCTAGTTAGTTCCCCCATAACCTCACATTTAGAGACACAGGATCCCATCCCCTCTGGCTCCTCAGCCACTTTATCCACCACTGGCTTGATCTTCACTAGTACTCACATGTAAGATTCCATTTTTTTAATCTGGTCCCAGTCTTCTGCCTCAGACATGCATTCCAAAAAGTTACTTTTTTTTGAGAGCATCTGCTTTATAGACCACTACGTGAATATTTTTGTGAAAAGAAATCAAGAGTAAGTCAGCCTGAAATGTCTTTGTACAGGATAGAGTTTGCAAATGGAAGCAGGAACAAAAAGGTGCAAAGCCAACAATAAGTTTTGAGTCAAGCCTGTTTAGTCATATCTATAAGATCTATATAGTCTGATACAGAGATCAAGATAAATCCTCCCTCCTTGCCCTCCTGCACTTCCTGACAGGTCTAGGAATTACAGGTAGAGTATACATGCATGAGTTTAGAACAATGGGGAGAGGTACGTGGATAATAATGCCAGTGTAACATCAGATGCTTAAGCACAGTGCTATATGTGGATTTTAGATCATTAGCAAACAATAAGACATGAATAGAGAAGGATTTTCAGTAATTTAGGTACAGAATCACAGAATGGTTAGGGTTGGAAGGGACCATCACTGGGTTCACCTGGTCCAACTTCCCTGCTCAAGAAGTGTCATCCTAGAGCACATTGCTCAGTAGTGCATCCAGACAGTTCTTGAATATCTCCAGTGAGGGAGCCTCCATAACCTCTCTGGGCAATCTGTTCCACTGCTCAGTCACCTACACAATAAAGATGTTCTTCCTCAAATTCAGGTGGAACTTCCTGTGTATCAGGTTCTGCCTGCTGACTCTTGTACATAGGGATACAAACAAACAAACAATAAAATAAGGAGGAATAATAAAATGCAATAATACAAAAAAGTTAACAAAAAAAAGGCCAAACAACAACAACAACAGGAAGAAATAAACCTTAAAGAGAACATGAAATTGTATGAAAAATAAATAATACTACCTAAATGCTTTACCTATCTACTAATCATCCAAATCCATGATAGTTAAGTATGATTTCTAGAAACATAATCTGGGTGGCAGAAAAAAGCTTTTAAATTGAATTTAGGCACCATAAGGATCCTTAAGGTTTTGCTGCAGGAGAATTCATCAGAAATGCAAGTTTATTCAATATCAAGTGTGGATCCTTAAAGTTGTCTTAGGAACATTAATTTTCCCCAGTAATTGTATATGAAATGTATATACCTCACTTAATTTCTTTAGATTGTTTTTGTCAGTCCAGATGTATATCTCCATTTTTATAAACTTTCAGACATTTTAAGTGTTTTTTTGAGTTCTAGTTTACATTATTTCTTTTATGCCTGAAGATACTTTTATAAATCTGTATCTAGCTGTATAAATCACTTCTGATAATATAATTCTGTCTAGATACAGAAATACCTGAAAACGTTTTGTCAGAGGTGTTCAGAACAGTCTAAACAAGTCAGTTAGAGCAGAGTGTTTGATAAAATCCTAGCAGTTTTTAGATGAAAAGCTTAGGTTTGTATTCCATTTATCCACTTGAATATTTTGGCTCCTTATCTGACCCTATTGCCATCACATTGATTGCAAATTGTGATGCTATACCGCAAGTGCATTTTTATCAATGAAAAAAATTGCAGCGGCAACATCGGACATAAATATATTTTGGTTAATTTTTCTTTAAATGTGACTGTACCCTCTGGGAGCTGCATGCAAGCATTGATGTAATACTGTATTGTTATATTTGCAGAGCAAGTACTGTATCTGGAAGGCAATTGCTCTGAAAGTAAACAATGAGATTTTCAGAAAGAAACGAGAAGGAAAAAAGGTGAGATTCCACTACAGTCACCTGAAGAAAAAATAGCTCCTTTTTAGTACATACCTTCTTGATAACACCAAAAATGTGAAAGTTTTATTGCCACGGTACAGATTCTAGTTTTTGATAAGTAAGACATTG